GTCCGAGGTTCGAATACGCGTGAAAGTAAGGTAAAAATGTCATGGATTGACGGTGGATGGGATTCGGATTTCGAAATCAAAAAATGCCGGAGGAGAGCGGAGGATAAATTATGGATTCCGAAAACTTCGGATGCCAAGGGGATTGACTATGGATCCACCAATGGATTGTTCGTGGATCACATATGGACGTCCATATGGAATCCGAAATTGAAACAAATCGGATTCCACAGGGATCCATACCACAAGAAATCCTTCCATCCTCCCCAGATCCATCAGGTACCGCGGGCGAGGGCCTGTGTCGTCAGCAAGACACACTTCCAGATTTCAGACAATTGATCTATCCTTCGGAACTTTGGTTCTTGTATTTCAATAAGATTATCGACGTAAAATTTAGAATGTAGAAATCTTTCTAATGAATACTAATTTCTGGGAGTTATGTTAAGATTTCTCCCATCCTCATAATTATTTTAGCACAATCGTATAGCGAGGTGGTATGCTACCTTTTATTGTAGAAAGAAAAATAAAAACTTTTGGAATCATACCAGGACCAGGACCAACAAGCAGGCCTGGCGCGAGACCTGTGACATTTCAGACTGGATGACGGTGAAGGCCAAGGCAAACGGCAAAGTGTGAGTGAGTATATTTGGAGGATTGGAGAATAAGATGGGGGGGGGGGGGGGGGTCTTTGGTGCAATATAATATGGAAGGGTAGAGCAGACTCGAGAAATGCACGAATTTGTGGCTCTGTTGAAAGTAACGCCCCCCCCCCCCAAACTGAACAAAGGCGTACTGGCCACCTTTGCTTAAATAGTCATTCCATTATTTAAAACAACACCGGCGCTTCTTGTATACCGAGGGGTGAACTTTGGTAAAGTTTTGATCATGAGTGTTTAAACGATTAGGACATTTAAGATTTTTGTGGGTGCTTCTCAAGGTGGGTGCAGCGTGTACATTTGAATCAACTTGAATTCTGAGAACTCAGTGGCGCGAAGACGCGAAGGCGCCATTCAATAATTTCTACAAGGCGGTTGGACGGTTTGTTTACGTTTCGGGACTGGGAAGCGCGCCACTCAAACTTGGAATTTGTGTTAGGTTAGAAAGTTAGGAAGACAAATAAAACAATCTCAGCAAGATGGAGCAAGGAATGACATCTAAAGAAAAGCATCTGACTCATAATACTTTAGTCTCACTGCTAATGTCATTGAAAGGCCAGCAAACTACTGTCGATTTGAGAAACCGATCGTCAGTGACAGGGACAGTGGAGCGATGTGACGCGTAAGTTCTATAGTTTTAGAAACCACGATTTTGATTCATTATATACTTTGATGTCAAAATTTGTAACATAATTTCGCTCTAAAATATTTTTTTCATCTTCATCATAGTTATGTTTCCTGAACTAAAGTCACAGAAAGATATTTTCTTGCAGGTATATGAACATAGAGATGAAACATGTCTTATTTAGAGATGCTAGTGGTAAAGCTCATATCTTTGAGTACTTTTTTGTACACAAGAGAAACCTAAGATATGTCCATATCCCACCTCAGGTAAGAATTATTGACATACCTCGCCCCTGATAAATCCGACTGATACTTTCTAACTTTTAATACGCTACAAAGGTAAATATGCGCAAAGCTGTTGAAACATTCTTGGACCGCTTAACAATCAAAAGGCAAGAACCACAGAAAGTTCGAGCTGCAACATTGCGCAGACAACAAGAAACCATTGCACGTGTTCAAAGGATCAAAGCAAAACAAACGGAAAAGAAATGATGGCTGTGGAAAATGTGTCACAGTTGATATAAAATTCATGATTTTGAGGGCATAATAACTGCTCAAACTGAAAACACTTATCTAGGCTTCTGGTTCGTGTATAAATATATTTATTGACTTTTTAAATATTCAGTTATAAATGGTTGTTATATATTTTCCTTTAAAATTTAAAACCAATGTTAGTTCATTACAGTTATCAGATACAGTACTACAGATCATTTTGTTCAAGACAGTGGTTTAAAATATCACATTTATCACAATGAAGGGGAAAGTGGAAGACTGAATAAGCCTTATGTTTTAAACACTGTAAATAAACAGTTAACAACAGTACTATTTGCCATTTTCAATAAAATTCTTGATAAAATACTACAAAATAACAATGTTTATGATTGTAAACAAATCACAAATCTTAAAGGCAAGCAGAGTAACATTCACCATCTCAATACTGGAAACGTAGGTAGGTTTATGGTTTATAATAATACATACATGCCTTTACATATGGCACACATTTCATTGGACTTAACACAAATATTTTTCCTTCTCAATATTGCCACTACCTTAAAACATCCTCAACCATAGCTATTTTTGATGGTGTAGTTTTTGATATTACTTAGCGAGATGATGAAAAAAGTATCTAAAAATACAAAACTATCTTATTTAACTAGGTATAGCACTATCTTTAGCGCAATACACATAACAGTCAAAGTAAATATGGATGATATGAAACTAACATGTTAAAAATGAAAACAATTAAAAACGGATATTTTTAACAATAAAAGATCGATATGTATACTCTTAAAACGTGATAATCAATACTTGTTTTCAGCTCAGAATTCATAGGATACGGTTAAAAATTTGCACAAAAAGAAAGAGAGAAAATTACTAACATGCAGAATTTTTCTCTTGAGCAAAATCCAAACACTCCTAATTACACGATTTCAATAGCCATGCTTATCCCCATACCTCCTCCAATACACAATGCAGCCACACCCTTTTTTCCACCTGTTCTCTTCAATGCATGAATCAAAGTGACAAGAACACGGGCCCCTGAAAATAAATCAAAGTTGAGTTAGGAAAATGTATAAAAGAAGTATGTAGTTTTGGTATTTTGAGTCTGCAGTACTTATCAGTTTCCTACCTGATGCTCCAATTGGGTGTCCCAGTGAAATAGCTCCACCCTGAATATTAACTTTTGATGGATCAAGTTTTAACTCTCTGAGGACACAAACACTCTGTGCAGCAAACGCTTCATTTAGTTCCCATAGATCTACATCCTCTTTACCCCATCCAGCCTTTTTGAGCTAGAATGAGTAGATTTTAAAAACATACATTAGTATTAAAATCAATTGCAGAGATGATACAAGTTTTAGGTAGTCAGAATTATCATTAAAATGGATCATATTTCTCACCACAGCCTCCACAGCTGGCACTGGTCCTATGCCCATTATTTCTGGTTCCACTCCTGCTTGAGCATAGGCAACTATTTTTGCTAATACTGGTGATCCTCGTTTAACAGCTTCTGTCTTTGACATCAGAACAAGTGCTGCTGCACCATCATTAATTCCAGATGCATTTCCAGCTGTCACTGTACCATCCTAAAAACATAAAATAGTGAATTCATAGCATAGATAATCTGGTTCCAATGTTCAACTATCAAATATAGAACTTCAATTGTTGACAAACTTTTTTAAATGCTGGTCTCAATTTCTTCAATGACTCCACTGAAGTATTCTTTTGAGGAAATTCATCTTCAGTTATAGATACTGGCTGAGAATTACGGCCGGGACCCTTTACAGTCACTGGAGTTATTTCAGCCTTGAAAAATCCAGCCTCAGTTGCTTTTTGTACTCGATTTTGTGACTCACATGCATATGAATCTTGATCTTCACGGGAGATATTATACTTGCAGACCAAATTTTCAGCTGCCAACAAATATTCAGACAATGGAAGAGACAATAATTAAAATTAGTTAAGAACTATTTTAAAAAGTAATAGCTTGTTTCAAATTATTTTCTATGTCGTCTTAAACTTTTATAAAAATTAACTATCTCCAGACAGTTGTTGCTTTTAGAATAATTCTTACCAGTGATTCCCATGTGGATATCATTAAACACATCAGTCAGTCCATCAAGAATCATGCTGTCCTTGAATGTCGTATCACCCATTTTAGTGCCTGATCTTAGGTTACACACATGAGGGGCTCGGGTCATTGATTCTTGTCCGCCAACTACAACAATGCTTGAGTCCCCACATCTGATGGCTTGATACCCTGATGCTACCGCTCTAAAAAGGATCATTAAGTATTTATTTAAAAAAAATACATTTTCATAAAATGAAGCTCCATTTTTGATCAGTAAAACAGACATACTTCAGTCCTGATCCACAGAGCATAGAGATGACATGAGCTGGCACTCCAATGGGGATCCCAGCTTTAATTGAGGTGTTCCGAGCGGGATTCTGGCCCTGCCCCGCAGTGAGAGCTTGCCCCAAAATTACCTCCGATACATCATTTGGTGATATATTTGCTCTTGCGACTGCTTCTTTTACTGCGACACTGCCCAGCTCATGGGCAGGAAGACTTGCAAACTGTCCCAAGAAAGATCCTGAAATATTAAAGTAAAATTATTCTTTGAAAATCTGAAGATAAAATCAACTTTTTCTTAAGGAGAGCTAACAAAATTCATGCTATCACTTTACACAAATGATGTAAGAGAAAGTTAACTTTCTCTTTCAGCTGAAAGTGGGATACATCTTTTCTAGAACAGTGCATCATTTGACATAAACTTCTATCCCTAGAAATTAGATATCTTGCATGGATTTATTCATACTAATTTTCATTTATGGGATCACCTATATAAGTAAGAAGAAAACTATGGAAATATTCTACTGGATTTTACTACACCAGACGACGCCGGGCTAGGTTAGGTGCGTACAATAACCGAAATACTAACTGATTACTCGACTTATAGAGATTGAAGGAAGCGCAGCACATGATTAGAACATAATAAAACAATTTAACTGGTCTTCTCCATTTACAAATTCGTGAAAATCTGATGAAATGTGGTGCAAGTTGAGGTTACGATATCTGGCCATAATGGTTTTTAACGGAAATAAGTAAATAGCGTTAGATTCACATGCCCTGACAGAAACTTACCTATCGGAGTGCGTACTGCAGACACAATGTACACTTCGTTTTCAGTCATTTTGTCGGAGTGGTGGGTCGAAACTGATGGAACTGGGGGAGAATGTCGTCTGCAGCAGGTCAGCTGTTGTGGTGACGACGACGACGACGACGCCGCGATGCTCGGTTGTTCAACTTCTTCTTCTCCTTGTTGTTTTTTACCCAGAGTCCTCAGTGACTGGTGCTAAGATGGCCGACGTCAGGGATCCCGTTGCTGAGACACCGGAAAATACAGGTAAAACCCGCGACAATTTCCTTGGTAAAAAATATTTGTGGTCGCAGTGCGCGTCATTCAGGCCCTCTGACGGCCCCGCGGCCCCGCCCCGCGGGACGCGGCCGCCGAGGGCAGGGGTCAGGCCCTCTGGCCTGGGCTGACGGGTCTCGCCTAGTCCACACACGGTTTTAGCCCCCGGGCCTTTATCATTCGGTTAACTCGTTGCACTCTGACAATGACCAGGGATTCGGATTCCACTGTCAAATTTTTAGAAAATTTCCCCTGCCTTGTCCCTATGGTGCGTCACTCGGCGTGGCAAGTCTTTTGTGAGGGTCATGAACAAGCAGAAGACCAGCAGTCATGGGCCCTCCTGGGGCCTGAGTGTGCAAGTAAGTACACTGTACTCTTGGCCTATTAATGTTGAGTCCTCCAGAACAGTGGCAGCTGTATTCTCCTCTTCACACCCTCCCTTTTCTATGTTGTTGCCATTGTTTCAAGCTTACTTGCACCAAAGTGAGGTGTGTCACAATTTTTGAGTTTGAGTCGCCAAGAAGTGTATTATTGTTGTTGTGTCATTGCTCTCAGTTTTGTGTAGTTTTTGTCACTGCTGTTTTCTCAACTCACATGGTAGTTTCTCCTACCTTACAAAGTTCATTTAAGTGCATCAAAGAAATCCATAACATTTCTTGTTGATTGTGATATTTTATTTGCTTTGTTGATATTAATATTATTACTTTTTATAGTCCGTATTACCAAATGCTCACAAAAGTTCTTGAAACATATGTCCCCAAACAGTTTCTTTTGAATCATCGTTTCAGAAGGTTTTGTGAACCTTCCACTAATTTTCTCCAGTCTGTTCATAAAAGTGACAGTGCAACATAATGTTAACATTATGTATACTAATCTAATTTATACAGTGGTGCAAAGTAAACTTGAAATCTACAAAAATCTTTTTTGAGTACAAATTAATTTTAAGTGTACCAATAAACCCCACCACCTACTATTGAAAAGAGCCTTACATTTATTTCTAAACTTTACTTTACTTCTAAAGTTACTTTCCGGAAGGTACGCAATAATCAATTCCTGTAAGTACAAAAATATTAATGCAGAACCAGAGACGGATGACCATAATTACAAAATAACTGGGATTTGCAGAGATGTGGCAGCAATGTAAGTGAGAGGACCTCCTGGCTGATTGAAGCGTATGTCTGGACCGTTGGATGCACCTGGGGCTCGTGGGCGCCGAGTGGAGCAGGCGGGGCGGTCTACGTGCTTTCGGCCAAAATGAAAACCAAGTGAGGCTGTGCAGGCTATGCATGCGAGAGAGCGCCCTGGCCGAGAAAAAGGGGGAAGGGGGCGAGGAGAGAGGAGGAGGAGGGAGCCCCTCTGCGCCGCTCCTCTAGCCGGCGTAAATGCGCTGCAGAGAAATGAGGTGCCACTCGCTGCACTTTGAACGCATGTTGTGTTCCCCGTGTGGTGTGTGGTGCTGTGGGCCCCGCCCGCCGGCTACCCAGCCCGCCCCACCTACCCCTGCCGCCCACCCCACAACATCGCCGTCGAGCAAGTCACACTGCTGTCTGCGAACCGTTCAACGCTTCCCCATCTGAACGCTTGTCGGGACGTTTGGCTTCAGTGTACAATGTTTCGGTGCGTGGCCGAGACGCCCCCCTCCTCCCGCCCCGCCCCCGCGCGCCGTGCCTTGCGCCCGCGTTGGGAGGTTGGGATGGATTTAGCTGGCAGTGAACTAGACCCCCGTCCCTCGCCCTCCTGAGGTCCTGTGCAGCTCGCTGTCCGTCCCGACTGCAGCCGCGGCGCGTCGTCGGCAAGACAACAGCTGCTGGCCAGCCGCGAGCCGCCGCGGAGCCGTCCCTCCCGACCCACTTCCGGTCGCGGCGGCTCACGCGGCCCGCGCGGACAGTCGCTGTGGGCGCCGCCAGGACCAGGCGCCTACTGTTCGCGAGCGCATTCCCCCCTTTCTCAAACCGCGGGTTGTTATCGCGCGCAATTATCTCTCTGTCAACCGGATGTCCTCCCCGCGGGTCCTCGTTCTCCCGCGCGGTGTGGGGGGCACAGAGTGGCACAGAGTGGCCGTGTGTCCCTGCAGCACCTGTGCGCCGCCCGCTCTGTGCGCTCTGCTCGGGGGTTGTGAGGGGCGCGCTGGCTGCTGGCGCGCAGGTGTCTCCTCACAGCGGCTGCCTCTGTTCGCCGGCGGCGACGATTGCCTTTCGTGTTAACGCGGCCCTCCGCGTGCCTCTCTATTTATAGGAGGCGGGGTGGGCACGGCGGGCACGGCGCCGCGGAGGCTGAGGGGGAAACAGTTTGAACCGACCGGCACCAACGGCGCTTCGTCGTCGTCGTCGACGGGGCCGCAGGGCTGGCGTGCTGAGCGTGCCCGGGGGGTTGTTGTGCAGGGCGGGGGGCTGTTGCTCCGGGTCAGGTGGGAGACACCGCACCGTGGCGCTGCGGCGGTGATCAGGCTGATGGTCAGTGGCCGCGCTGCGCCGCGCCGCGCGGGCAGCCAGGCGTGCACGCCGCGGTGCACACGCACACCCCCGCCATAGCGCACCGGGGCTGCGTGCGAGCGGAGCGCGCTAGCGTGCGCCCTCCGGCACTATACCCGTCACGCTCCTGGTGGCGGCAGACCTCTCTCGGACGCGCCGCCCGCCGTCACACCTCGCCGACAAGCAGCAGCAGCAGAGCCGAGCCGCGGCCGCACTCCAGTTGGGGGCGGAGAGCAGAGCCGTGCTGAGGTCTGGGCGCTCGCGACCCCTCGTGACCTCCCCGCGTGACCACGTGTGGCCGCACGTGTGACCCTCTGTGGCTGAAGGGGTCGTCGCCGCCGCGGCCGCCGCGCTCGCCGGGTGAGTCAGTCCGCGCCGGGGGTCGCCCGCCCCTCCCGCCCGCGGCCGGCTGCGTCGTAGTGCGTCAGCTCGGCGGCAGTCATCAGGCCACACTGCGTCGCGTCACCCTCCGCCCCGCGACGACGGCGAGGTCCCGGACTACATTCGCGATCCCCTCGTGCTCCTCGTCGGCCGCCCTTGCACCGATTTTACGGCCAGCCTGTCCCAGGTATGCACGCGTGTGATTGTGTCCAGCCTTGTGTCGAGCCTTACCGCCTCGTTTCTGTGGCCATCAATTGGACCTTGCTGCTACTGCGAGACGACATATGGCGTTACCATTTTCTTTACAAACTGCAGAAGAGTGTGCGTATGTGGTCGCGTTGCTACTCCTGGGGTCGCTCTGGGCCCTGTACCGGGCGCACTCTTTCGTGTATAAACTATGAGGGGCTCTCTCTCTCTGTTTGCCTGGCGCTGCCCGGCTCCTCGCCGGTCTCGCTCGGCTGCCCCGCCCTCTCCGCCTGTATGGGCTGCGTACGTGGCGGGTAATTAGCGGCGCCTGTGGCACCTTGCGCGCGTCCGTCCCTCTGCCCTGGCCCCTCGGACAGCCCCGCCTCGCCCGCGACAAAGTGTAGGTCCTGTGGCGCCTCGCCCCGCCCCGCCCTGCCCTGTACAACACAGCACAGCCTCGGGACGTGACTCGCCTCTCACCCTGATAGATTTCAGCACTGGACCGCCACCCCCC